ACACTCACTCACTCCTGATGGTGAGAGAGAGATACACACACACACATATGTTCTAATATGTTTGTTAAAAAATTTAAACAAGAGTAGAAAGAGGAGATATAGATACATCTCTACAAAAAATACACATTAAAAAAAATCCGAGGAATATGCTAGTCAAAGGAATACAGTAGGCCCCAAAGAAAACCTCAACACAGTCATAGATACAACTCTTAAATACTAGTTGACCATATTGTAGAAATTAACATCAAACATTTAAATCAAACAATACAAGCCACTTGAGAATTTTAGAAAACATTCTCCCCCACACTCTTCTAACAAGGAGAAAATGTTTGAAAAGAGAAAAGACTGAAATTAGAGATATTTGAGAAATGATTGACTATGATTACACTACTTGTCAAAGCTATGGGAGGCAGGCAATGTTATACTCAAAGAATGCAGTAAACAATGAGGATAGCAAGTAAATGAATTAGATGTTCAGTTCAGTTAGATGAATAATGTGAGAAGAGTACAACAAAGAAAATAATGATGCTAAAAATAAAATGATCAATTAGAAAAAAGGAAAACATTAATATCAGCAAGCAATAAAAAGACCAAAAAAAGAGCTAGTGCTTTGAAAAGACCACTAAAATAAGCACAAATATGCAACATTAGGAGGCTTCCCTGGTAGCTCCGGCCTGCAGTGCAGGAGACTCGGATTTGAACCCCGGGTCAGGAAGATTCCGCTGGAGAAAGGGAATGGCAATCCACTCCAGTATTCTTGCCTAGAGAATCCCACGGACAGAGGAGTCTGGTGGGCTACAGTCCATGGGATTGCAGAGTCGGATGTGACTAACACTTTAACTTTCATACAACATTAGAAATAATGGAGAAGGAAATGGCAACCCACTCCAGTATTCTTGCCTGGAAAATCCCATGGACGGAGGAGCCTGGTAGGCAACAGTCCGTGGTGTCGAAAGAGTCGGGGACACGACTGAGCGACTTCACTTCACTTCACTTTGAGACAAGAGCCCTCTGTGTCTCCTTTTGCCTGGCAAAGGAATGAAACTTTTCTACTTCACCCCCCCTCCAAAAAAAAAAAGAAATAAGAAAGGGGACACAATTACAGGTATAGAGGAGATATTTAAATTGTAAGATAACTCAAGATGATTTAGAAAACATTCCAGAAAATCTGATTCATGACCGTCCCCAAAAAGGGAAAAAAATCTACTCTTCAAAAAAGGCACCTGTCTCAGATAGCTTTTCAAGAAACTTCTATAAGCTTGAATTGCTTATGTCCTTTATTCTACAACAGAGAAATTATAAGAATAGTATTTTAACATTTATTGAGTATTTAATATGTGCCAGGCATATGCAATTTATATATATCATCATGTTCAAAAAAGCTTACAAACTCATTGAAAAAGATTAGTATCAAATAGATACGAAAACTTGACAAGGAAATCATACATATGCAAAAAAATTGAGCACATTTACAAATATAGATAATAGCCTAGATAAAACAATAATAAATGGAATCAAGCTAGAAACTAAAATAATAGTATGTCATGACCAAATACAGTTTTTCCTCCTGGGAATTAATGGTTCAACATAAAGAAACCTAGTGATATCATTCATTATACTAAAAAGTGAAAGGACATCTTCAGAATCCAAAGAACACCTATCCCTGAGTTAAAACAAGACAAGAGCAACAACAAAACTCTTAGTAAACTAGGTGTACAAGGCAACTTTCTTAATGTGATTTTTAAAAGTCACCTAAGGAAGTCAACAATAAACATCATACTGAACAAGAAACCATAAGAAACTTTTTCATGAAAGACAGGTACAAAGCAAAGTTGCCTTTTCTAACCACTTCACATTATACAATGTTGCCCTGGCAGTTCTGGCCAAATCAGTGAAACAAAGCTACAAAAAGGTAATATGTATAAATATTGGAAGGAAAAAAGTTTTTATTATTCCTAGGTGATATGACTATTTACCTATAAAATCTGAAAAAAAAAAATCAATGGAAAAACTTACAAGAATAAAAGAGCCCAATAGGATGGCTAGATATAGTATGTGTGTGTGTGTTAGTCACTCAGTTGTGTCCAACTCTTTGTGACCCCATGGACTGCAGCCAGCCGGGTTCCTCTGTCCATGGGATTTTCCAGGCAAGAATACTGGAGTGGGTTGCCATTTCCTTCTTCACTATATATATACACATACATACACATACATATTAATGAATGTTAATCAGTTAAAAACTATAATGGAAAAGATTCCATTCATAATATTATTGCATATTATCTCATAGGCAGTGCGCGCTCAGTCATGATCACCTCTTTGAAACCTCATGGACTATAGCCTGCCATGCTCTTCCCGTCCATGGGATTTCCCAGACAAGAATAATGGAGTGGGTTGCCATTTCCAGGAGCTCTTCCTGATCCAGGGATCTAACCCATGTCTCCTGAGTCTCCTGCATTGCAGGCAGAATCTTTACTGCTGAGCCATCTGGGACCTTCACTACATGTTGTAAATTTAACTATAATTTAAAAGTTCAAGATATTTGTGAGAGCGTTAAAAGTTCACACAGATATGCTATCTTTTTGCTAAAAAAGGGAAAAATAAGTCCTATAAGACTATATACTTATATCTGTGTGTATATTCATAAACTCTGGAAACTTTTAAAGTTGGTGAAAGTGAAAGTCATTCAATCATGACTGACTCTTTGTGACCCCATGGACTATGCAGTCCATGGAATTCTTTTTCAAACCCAAAAGATGTAACCAGAGATGAGGTCAATTCGTCCAAGATTTAATTCCATCTCAATCAAAAATCCCAAAGAACATACAAATTCTGAAGCTGCCTGAATTGTAAGAGCAAAAGAAGCCGCACAAATTGTAAAAGCAAAATTATTTCTGAAGAGTGGGAATTCAACCTACTAAATATAAAGCTACTGAATTCCTTATAGCAGTAAGGATTGGCATAGGAATTGTGTTCTGCACTCTGTTGGTGCAGAACAGAGATTTACAAACATATTCATGACTACATGGACATGTAGTACAAGGTTAAAAGGGCATTTCAGATCAAAGCCAAGAGCTGATTATTCATAAGCTAGAGGAATATATGGTACAACATGGGGCACATAGCCAATGTTTTATAATGACTATAAGTGAAGTATAACCTTTAAAATTGTAAATCACTATCCTGTACACCTGTAACTTATAGAATATTGTACATCAACTATGCTTCAATTTTTAGAAAATGGGAAAAATCAAACAAAAAGAGTGGATTATTCAATGAAAGTTGTTGAGAGAACTGGCTTTCTATCTGGAGAGAAACGAGAAGCAAGTGTTCCTATCTTATATCACACACAAAGATAAGTTCCATGGGAGTTAAAGATTTAATGATAAAAAGAAACTATTAATATAGAGTATAAGTAAATATTTTCAATATTGGCATAGGCAAAATCTTTCCTAGGATGACCAAAGCCAGATACCATAAAGGAAGAGATTAATGGATTAGACTATATAGAACTAAGAACTTGAACACAACACCTTATATTAAATGAATGACAAAGGTCAACACAGGAAAAATGTCTGCACTATAACAAGCTCTTATAATTGAAGTGTAATTCCTAAGAGTAAACAAACCAACAAGCAAAGAACCTCAGTAAGCAATTTACAAATGAAGAAGCTCAATGACCAATAAACACATGAGAAGTCACTGGACAACCTCAATAATAAATAAAGAAATCCAAACTCAAACAATAATATCAGCCCTTGTGGAATCTGGTAGCACAGGTGGTAAACCTCCTAGCAGGAAGCAAGCGTAAGTTATAGTTTAGCAGGAATGGAACTCTGTCTGAGTGTGCCCCTTATGGGCAAAGAATACCTTCACTTTGTAAGCTGATCCCCAAGAATCTTATACGGCTATTTGTTGTAGGTGGGTGAGAGGAAAATGTTAAAAGTTTACCCAGGTATGCTATCTTTTTGCTAAAAAAGGGAAAAATAAGTCCTATAAGACTATATACTTATATCTGTGTGTATATTCATAAACTCTGGAAACTTTTAAAGCTGGTGAAAGTGAAAGTTGCTCAGTCTTGACTGATTCTTTGTGACCCCATGGACTATACAGTCCATGGAATTCTCTAGGCCAGAATACTGGAGTGGGTAGCTTTTCCCTTCTCCAGGGGATCTTCCCAATCTAGGGATCGAACCCAGGTTTCCTACATTGCAGGCGGATTCTTTACCCGCTGAGCCACAAGGGAAGCCCTTTAAAGCTGGTAACAATGGTTAACCTTGGATTGGGGAGGGAGAAGGGATGGGTATTAGGCAGATGTGGGACAAAATGGAATGGAGACTTTGTTCTCTCTGTAAGTTTTGTTAGCAATTTTTTGAACCGTATTAATGTATTTTACTTGTCTCAAAAAACCTGAATTTAAATTCCTGTGCTGTTTGGTAAAAATAATTAAAATGGGACTTGACTTTCTTCATATAGACCCTCCCAGGAAGTTCGGGAGTGCTTTTGAACCAGGAACTAACTACCCACATCTCATTCTACAATCTAGCTTAGGGGACTGAGTGGCAGCGCTTATGGAAAATTCCACTCTTTAAGAGTTTTTATTTTTTAATTTTTATTTATTTATTTTTTCTTTAAGAGTTTTTAAAGGGCAGTTTGGTAACATGTATTGAAATGTAAAACTTTCATATCCCTTCACCGAGTCACGGTATTTTAAAAAATTTATCCTGAAGAAATGACTGGATATGGGTGAAAAGATAATTCTGCAGCATTATTTTCTTGTGAGGGGAAACTGGGAACTATTACTATCCATCCATTCCCATGGGAAAGCGTAAACTGTGGTCATGGCTACTGATACTGCTGGTGTGTGGACCACATTGTGAGTTGCAAGACCTCAGAAGCTCCTTGACCCACGCCCCGGCTGTTAGGCTCTGGATCTCTGCTCCCCGCACCCTCTACCTGGCTCTTAGATGCACCACCCCACCCTCGGCCGGCCTGCTCACCTGGTCAGCATAGGAGTGCGGTGATTGGGGTTGGAGCAGAAGATGTTGTTGGACTTGCGGGTGCCGTCCAGAAACTCCCGTATCGACTGGCTGCGGAGCTCCGCCAGGGGCCGGGCCTCGTGCTTGAGGAACCACTGGTGCGCCTCAAAGCACTTGTGGCAGATAAGCTGCTCGCACTCGAAGCACCAGTAGTTGGCCGGCTCTTTGCAGCGGGTGCAAAATGCCTGCTCGCGTGCGATCTGCTGGTACACCGACAGCCGCCGCTGCAGGCTCTCGAAGAAGACGTTGTCCAGGGCCTGCGTGCCGGCGCCTGAGGGCCAGGGGGCCTGGCAGACCGGACACTGCACGCCGGACTCCTCCAGGCATCCTGAACACAGCGTGTGCAGACAAGGCAGGAGCTTGGGGCACTTAGCTTCTGCCCGGCAGCCCTGGCAGCGCAAGAACTGGAACTCTTCCTCCGTGGCTTGCTGGGGAATCAGAGAGGGAGGTGAGACGTGAAGTCCCAGGAGTCCCCACCCGACCGGATACCCATCCTGTGGCTGCATGCTGACAGTGGCACTTCCTGTTTCATACCAGGCTGTCACTGGATGACACAAAAACCCAGGCTTATCAGTATCCCAGTCCTCCACTGACTTAGGCCTTCCCACACTCACTCCACGATTTACTGAGCATCTGCTTCTCATGAGACAAGATACCCAGATGTATAGCAGCAGTCCCCAACCCTTTGGGGACCAGGTTATGGCTTCCTGAAAGACAGTTTTTCTATGGGTGGGGTGATGTAGGGATGATTTAAATGCATTACGTTTATTGTACACTTTTTTCCGTTTCCACTGTGATAATTTGGTAGTGCAAGCGATGAGAGCAGCTGTAAGTACAGATGAAGTTTTGCTCTCTTGCTGACTGCTTGCCACTGTGAACTCGGTTCCTAATAGGCCAGGACAAGTGCCAGTCCGTGGCCTGGAACTTGGGGACCCCTGATTCCAGGACAAATCCTTGCCTTCAAGGGACTTTAAAAAAGGAGATTCATTAAATGTGGGTCATAAAGCCTCACACAAAATGCTTACTGCACTTTGATGGTTCCTCAAAAACTTAAACATAGAACTACCATAGGCTCCAGCAATTCTACACCTAGCTATATACCCAAAAGAACAGAAAACAAGGATCCAGATGCTTGTACATCCATTATTCTGTACACAGCATTACTCACAAAGGTGGAAACAACTCAAGTGTCCATCAACAGATAAATGGAAAAACAAAATGTAGTATGTACATACAATGGAATATTATTTAGCCTTAAAAAGGACATTCTGATACATGCTACAACATGAATATACCTTGAAGACATCATGTTAAGTAAAGCCAGCCAAACACAGAGATAAATACTGTAGGATTCCACTTACATAAAATATCTAGACTAGGCAAATTCAGAGAGACAGAAAGTAGATTCGAGGTTACCAGCAACTAGGGGGAAGAGGAGAATGAAGAGCTGGAAGGGTACAGATTTTGTTTCAATGAAAAAATTCTGAAAATAGACAGTGGTGATGGTTACAAACATTGTGGGATGCATTTAATGCCACTGAATTGTACACCTAGAAACAGATAAAACATACATAACATAATACAGTACCTGGCACATGAGAAATACTCAAACATGTTAACTAGTATTGTAAACATTATTCCTAGGTGTTATAATGCAACTAATAAAAGTTAATGCAATATGGTATTATTTGTACTTTCATGAAAGAGAGTAAAAAGGGCCTGGAAGAAAACAGAGCAAGTGATCTAAGCACTTTCTTTGGGGGTGGGGAGTTTGTGCAGGAAAAGACCAGTAAACCCCTAAAAAACCCCTTGGGATGAGGGTTGAGGGAGCACGGTGCTCCAGGAAAAGGATCCAAGAAGTTTCCTGGAGGAGAAACCACAGGAACCCTGAGCCTTAGCCAAGACACCTCTCTCCCACTTTCTGATCTGGGAACAAGGGTTCTGGCTTTTGCACACCTGGCACATGTCCGGGGTTGCCAGGCGGGTACAGTAAGACTACTACCTCCATTTTCCGTAACAGGTGGTTCTTCATCTGAGGTAGGGGATAAGAGGCATGTCGCCAGCTTGGGCGGAAGAGTCTGGCTCGGAGTTCCACTCACCCTCAGCATCACCCCGCTGCTCCTGGGGAATCGCAACCCAGAGACCCCTCCCTCAAACTCATGCTGATCCCCCTTTCTACTTTCCACGACCCCTAACCCTGCCGAGAAGGTCAGGACCCTCGCACCTGGTCTCCCTTCTTTGCGTCATTTTTCAAGGTACTTGGTCAAGTTCCCCAGTCCCCCCATTCCACCGACCATACCTAATTAACAAAGCCCGAATCCCATCTCCCCAAACGCAGTAGTACCTCTGTGGGGCTGTCGCTGTGGCTGGACTGGTGGCCTTCGGAGAGTGACTCCGGGGGAGGCATGCTGGGGGAGTGGGGCAGCGCGGGGTCCTGCTGGGGCCCCGGCGATCCGGTCGGTTCCGGATCCTGCTGCATGGAGTCCCGCGCAGTTTCGATTCTCAGTTTTGCTCTTCGAGAGCGGAGAAGCTGAAACAGAGGCAGGCGCCAGAACGCTGAGCTCCAGGAGCAGCCCTAAAGGGGAGGTGCCAGCTCAGGGCCCGCCTCCCAGAGGAAGTGAGACACTAGCTACCGGCAGTTCTAGGAGCGGAGAGGCTGGGCCAGGGTCCTGAAGACACGCCCAGAGCGGTGAGGAGGGAGAGGAGAAGTCACCCGCTGGACTGTGGCAGAACTTCAGGATAGAGGCCGTCCCTGCCCTCGGCGTGGAATCTTTCATTCAGCTTACCCTGGCACAGCTTCGTGCCAGCCCTCAGATGGGAGCAAGAGCCACACAGCCGGGCCACGTGTGGCCCCTACTTTGGAAAAAAAAAGTGAAAGTGTTAGTCTTCTAGTCGTGTCCAACTCTTTGGGACCCCATGGACTGTCCTCTTCTAGGCTTCTCTGTCCGTGGGATTCTCCAGGCAAGAATACTGGAGTGGGTAGCCGTTCCCTTCTTCAGGCCATCTTCCCTACCCAGGGATGGAACCCAGATCTCCTGCACTGCAGGCAGATTCTTTACTGTCTGAACCACCCCAGATCTAACAGAGGAGCAGGCTCCCAAAGGGAGATTTTCACAGTGTTGAGAGACTGGCTGGAGAGGAGATCATGCAGCTGGGATTTGAAGTGATGGTGGGAAGTTGCCAGGGATTCAGAGGCCGGGGATGGGTGAGCGACCCTTCAAACCGAGAGAACAGCACATGCAAAGCCATGGAGGTTTGAAACAGAACCTGTTTGGAAACTAGTTTTGAAAAAAGCAACTCATTTTGGTTATTTTCAGATTCAAGAAGGGACCCATGCATAATGTCAGGCCAGGATGGGCTGGGCAAGATGATAGCTAAGGAGATGGACCAGGGTTGTGGACAACAGAGTTGGTGAAGGGTTTGGAAATAAGGAATCATGTCCATTGTGTATGTTAGGACAGTCTCTCTGACAACCTAGGCCAGGTGATCTGGGAGAGTGGCTGTGGGATGAGAGGAGGGACCCGAGTCAGACATTGGGAGGATGCTGAGTGGACATGAGGGGGAACAGGATGATGCCTGGTGTGACAGCTGGAAGGGCTGGTGGATCTGAGGCAGTAGGGAATGGGGAGAGCTGGTGGGCAGGTATGAGAAAAGTGAGAAGACAGCAAGTTAGCAATGGGTCAAAGGAGAAGTCCCAGCTCTCAGCTGGTGAGGGGAGAAGGCACAGCTCCAGGTGGCATCACTGGGCCAGTGCTCCTGTCTTCAAACCTCAATGCATTCCAATCATTGTGATGACTCCCATGTACCCATTTTGTGCTCAGTTCCAGCTTGGGGCAGACCAGAGGGACAGTGACAGGACCTTGCCTCTTGTACCACTTTAATAGTTGGGGGTGGGGTGAACTTATAGTTCAGGGTGGGGGTGGGAGGATAGGTGAGAACTAATTCCTAGGGACAGTGCAAAAACCTCAAGAGCCTACTGCATGCACCCTGCTCCTTGATCAGTGCCCCCAGGGTTTTAGAACCAGGCTATGAAGCTAGGAAAAGCCAAAGATGGTAAGCAGCCATTTGCAGAAGGGACCTGGAAGTGGACTATGGCTGAGGGGCCTTAGGAGGCAGGACCGGAATGTGTGGAACAAGAAGAGCTTTATTAATTTCTCTGCCCACTTTGGAACACAGCCTGCCTTGTGGGAAACTAATACTTGTTGGTATACAGAGTAAATTCACATTTTGCCTTTGGTTTTCTCAAGCCAGGAAGAAGCAAATTACCTCTGGGTACCTGGATTGTGGGGTGTGCTATTTCAGCATCTGCATGAATGAGGGTCTTGCCTCTGTGATGCTCGGGAGGGCTGCCCTGGGATAGCACTGTGCAATCCCCTTCTTTACTGTGCCTTGCTCCCCGAGATCTGCACACAGAATTTCTTTCTTTTTGTGCCTGAGCTCAGGCCCTCCTGCCCCAGGCTGACCCACAATGACCTGGTTACCCCTTCATTCAACAGACAAGCACTGACATCCTCTCTTTACCAGGCCTTGCTTGCTGGGCTTTGTTGTTGTTCAATTGCTCAGTCATGTCCGACTCTTTGCAACCCTATGGACTGCAGCACGCTAGGCTTCCCTGTCCTTCACCATCTCCCAGAGTCTCCTGGAGCTTGCCTCAACTCATGTCCATTGAGTTGGTGATGCCATCCAACCATCTCATCCTCTGTCGTCCCCTTCTCCTACTACCTTCAATCTTTCCCAGCATCAGGATCTTTTCTAATGAGCCGGCTCTTCGCATCAGGTGGCCAAAGTAATGGAGCTTCAGGGATAAGAATGGGAATAATGTGCTGATTATGCCTTGGAGAAACCCTAAAGGCAACCTTCCCCAAATCCCGTCCAGAATTTGTTAGTTTGTGCTGAGACTGCTGGTAGCATTTCTTTGCTTCTGGAGAAGATTCAGCTCCTGAAAACTCCCTTACAAAGCTCAGCTTCTCTTCCTGCTCCTTTTCTAAGACCCAGTGGAAAAATGTGTATGAGGAGCGGACCGCTGCGGGCCTCCAGGAACACATACTACCCTTCCTCCCAGCCCCGCGGTCGCAGTTCGGTCCTCCCAGCGCAGAGGGCGCTACGCAACGGTACAAGCCGGGCGCGGTTGGCCTCCTCCTCCTGCACTCGAGCCGCCCCCCGCCCCCGCCCGGCTGCACAGGCGAAACCGGAAGCGGTGGCCGGCGGGGGCGGGGCAGTGTAGCCGCTGGCTGGTCGAGCCCCGCACTGCCCTGGGGCGCGGGGCGTGCCCTCTGTTGGGAACCATGCTTGGCAGGTCTGGGTACCGGGCGCTGCCTTTGGGGGACTTTGACCGTTTCCAGCAGTCGAACTTCGGCTTCCTGGGCTCGCAGAAGGGCTGCTTGTCCCCGGAGCCGGGCGGCGTGGGGCCGGGGGCCGGTGAGTGGCCGCCCAGCGCAGCGGATCCGAGGGAGATCAGCAGGCACCCCCGAACGCTCTGCCTCTTGGGAGTCAGCGTGTCTTGCGTCTTCGCAGCCTAAGAGGAGGGACCGAGAGGGGTTTTCCACGATGTGGAGAAGGGCTTGGATCTGGCGCTGGGACACTACCGCCCATCCGCCCTTCTTAGAGCTACGGGGCGGCAGCACTGGAGCTCTCTCATCTTCCAAGAAGCCTCGCCCCACCTCGTTTCTGCTTGGCATTTATCAGCCCAAAGGTTTCAGGTTTCCATTTTGCCCAGAAAGAAACTAAGGTCAAGGCATAGGAAGTCACCAGCACTCCAAGAGCACTTGGCCGCCGAGAAGTGGCAGAATCTTAACCTCAGGGGACACCTTTAGATTTCCTCAAGCTTGAGTATCTCCCAGTTTCCTGGTGGAGATGCGCAGGCCAAAAAGTCAGGCCCTTAGATGCCTGTCGTGTCTTCCCAGGCCCTGTTTTTCTCCAAAGCCTTGAGTAATTCCCTTGACCCAGAGGTCAGATCCCACATGCCTCAGCCTGACAGCCAAGCCCCAGAGGATTCGGCCCTTCTGTGACCCCCTCCTCTAATGACAGCTGTCCCTATCCAAGAGTTCTTTTCCTACTGGGGCCACATGGGTCAGAAAGAAGCAGGAAAGGAGATTTAGTATTCTGGTGCTCAGAGAGCCCAAAGGGTATGGTGTTCCTGGAAGGGTGGAGCAGAGGATTCTGTCTGCTTCCAGTTCAGGGCTGGGAGAGGATCCCCAAGATC